CGGAAGTGCCGACGACGAAAAATAAAGGTCGTTCCCCATAATGGAGTTCGATGTTCTATCACCTCAGTGAGTTTCATGTTCATATCTTCAGCCGTTCTCGAGAAAACTGCTGGACAAAATGCCTTTTAAAAAATACAAAAATCCCCAAAAATCGCGAACGGAAGTAAATTTTGAAAAAATGAAAAACACGTCTGGAGATATTCTTATGATGCATCTTCCCTGAGAAAATCGTTGAAATCTGTCCACTCATAGCTGAGATATCGGCTATACTATGAAAAAAGAATAATAATAATAATAATAATAATAAAAAACAGAAGGAAAACAATAAGGTCTTCCGAAGGAAGTCGGAAGACCTTAATAATAATAATAGAAAACAGAAGAAAAACAATAAGGTCTTCCGAAGGAAGTCGGAAGACCTTAATAATAAGAAACAATAGAATCGCTATAAGGTCTTCCGTGAAGATGGAAGACCTTAATAATAATAGGAAACCGACGGAAAACAATAAGGTCTTCCGAAGGAAGTCGGAAGACCTTAATAATAAGAATAATAATAATAAGAAACAATAGAATCACTATAAGGTCTTCCGTGAAGACGGAAGACCTTAATAATAGGGAAAAAGAAACCGAACGAAAACAATGAGGTCTTCCGTTGGAGACGGAAGACCTTAATTATTTCACACATTCGCACTAAACCTTACCCGTTATGTTGAATGTTATCCATATAACCCGGGATTTTTCGTTAAACCATGCTTACTTTGGGATTCTTGCAGCACTCTCCAAGTAATTTAGAAGCTTTTGATCTGTACAAATCTGAGGTTTTGAAATACCCAGCTTACTGTTGTTCTTTTGCATTATTTTTTTTATCACGAATGGCAGAGGAAAGGCCGAACTGGATACGTAATTAGCTGACTGTCTTCGAAAGAAAATATGATAAATGAAAATAAATAAACGTATTTAATAAAATTTAACCCAATACGAATCACATAATATTTGCAATGTTTGTTTCTAAACCCCCATTTACATGTACGTGTCTTAGCCAAAATTGTTTTTACAAAATATGATCAATTCCAAAGTAACTTGATGTACTATTGTACTCTTATGGCATTATCGGTGGTCGATTATAATGTAAATGACTGATACAGCATAATACAATGAAAACCGTTTTTTGTTAATGTTTACGTGTTTCTATTCATTTTTATTTAAATTACATCTCTAAATACCAACATCACAGAATCTTGTGTTTTAAAATTAACGTCATCTTTCCTAAGACGTCATAATGTATTACTGATTTATTCTAGTAAGAATATTCTGAATGCATCCTTATTACCCATGCGTTGTTGTATATGTATGAAGTTGATGAGGGAAAGGAGGCGTTGCATAATCCAGGAGTAATTTTAAGAAGGCTTTTCCATCAACACTATAAAAAGCCTTTTCAAAGTCGATGAAGTTTAGATATAGTGTTGACTGCAACTCTACTGACTGTTCGATTATTTTACGTAGAGTTTCCTTATTAAATATTCGCTTTTTAGGTATTATCTAGAATTAAATGACATGTCAATCGTTGTGCAATTGCTTGGATTCTATAAACGTACAATTTTCATATTTTTAATTCAGAGAGAAATAATGGTTTCTGGCTTTGTTTCTAGTTTCAGAATAATAGGATTCAGAGTTTTATATCTATACATTAAACTGATGAGGCAGCTCTGACCTACGAAAGCCCAATGAGCTCATTTTCATAGGTAAAAAAATAAAATGTTCGCCTTATAACACGAAGCTTTCGCGAAAAAACGCGTAAGTTTCGCATTATAACGCAAAACTTTAGCGAATAAACGCGTGACTTTCGCGTTATAACGCGTAACTTTTGCAGTTTAGCCAGCCATTTGCTTAAGTCTCAACTTTCTTTTGATTTTGTCATCAAGTTTATTCATTACAATGATAAGCAAAAGGCTATTTTGATCTTGGACTAACACACGATAAATTTTAAGCTTTCTGGCTATTGAATCCATCTTTACTGTAACAATTTTTCTTTCTCAATGCTGTTCAAACAATGCAAAGTTTATGCACGTTTTGCAAATGTTAATCTTCCAGATTAATAATTTCGGAGAAAGCACCCTTTCCGGCGTCTTTTTATGCACTCTCTAGAGAATTTAAAATCATTTTATTAAAAGAGATCAGGATCTCAAAAAATTGACATAATGAGGTAAATTTCTCAATTGTGTCACAATGCATTTGTGAAAATTTGATAGCAGATTTCATTTGTCTCCGTTGGATTCACTTTGGAAATACGATATCCTTTTTTTTTTGCACCACGTCGTCATTCAATTGCTTACGAAAACATTGACAATTCAAAATGTACAAACTCTTCATTGTTTTTTATTTATGGCTAGTCCACGAACTTCTCTATACCCCAATATGTAAATATTGGAGAAACTTTAGAGACCCCTCCTCAATAATTTTGTAATTAACAATATCCAATTATAATTGTTATTTAAACTGCATCATATGACCCGTTAAGGTAGGTCCATACTTTCAGACTTTTCTGTCAAACTGAAAATTTTTCAATTTGAATACCTTGAACAAGTCTTAAATTAAACTTACTAAAACACCCATAAAAGAAATATCTTTGCAGGTTAATTTTCATACAACATGTCTCAGCGCACATACCTCTAAAAACTCAACAGCCAAATTGAACATAAAAAAAGTGTTATATCATATTTCTCTTAGTTATGCACCAAATCGCATCAAATTTATGTTAAAACTTGTGGAGATCAAAAATATTCATTTGCCAAGAGAATATTTGAAATCTTTACTGCAAAACATTAACAAATTGGTGTTGAATCTGTCCATGTCTTTCAGAAAAAAATCTCAAAATATCTTTATTTATTATAATTCTCAAAATCCAAAATGTTAAGATGCCATTTTTTCTTTAAAACTATTAAGAATTATATCTAATGTTAACAAAAACAGCTACTTTATGATGGTTGACCAGAAAATTTTAACAAAACAGTCTTTTGAAGACATATACCCCCATTTTTGGAATATCAATTTTTTCAATTATTTAATGCAAAATTTTTAAAAAGTAAAAATTAAATGGATGATATAGGCTCTAAATCAATAAAAATAGATCCCAGGTTAGTTTGCTCAAAAGAAAATTAAAAAGATTTAGGTTTAATTAAGAATTCTGTGTCTGTGTATGTACTAAATGACATGTAGATCTTATGGACAGAGTCCAATCTGTTAATTTCCATAAGTAATGTATATCAAATGCTTCATATGCACAATAACACTATAATAAACAAATATATACTTGCTAAATCATTTTCAATCACCCGAAAAGATTTATATCAATAGAAAAGTGAAAATCTGAATTTTATATTGATGTGTAAAATTAGAACCGGATCCGTAAAATTGTGGGCCTTCCTTAAGCTCATGAAATTATACATTGTTCATTCACTTTTAAGTCATGTTTCTACAGTGTATAATTTGTTGTCCATTATGATCAATTGCTTAATATACTAGTGGTACAATTGTAGTAAACGTTTCCGATTAAAAAAACAGCTTGAAAAAAGAGTCAAGTGGAGATTGCCCTTAAAAATGAATCCGTCTAAAGGATTACACAATTGAAAAACATGTACAAGAAAGTAAAACTCGTTTTATCAATTCAATGGTAAGGTTTTCAGGTGAAAAATATTCTGATGACTAATCTATCCTATTCTCGCACCATTTCTCTAGTACATCTTCTGAGGAAATGATATGTTATCAATAAGTTCCTGAGAGTTCCCGTCTGTGTTCATGATCTAATCTGTCAGACAAGATCAATGTTCCTGAGTAAAATTACGATATGCATATTATCTTGCGAAATAACGCGAAAGTTTTGGCTTTTATTTGCGGAAGTTTCACGTTTTAGCGCTAAATTTACGCGTTTATTCGCGAAAGTTTCGCGTTAAAACGCATAACATTTATTCTTTTTAACCTACGAAAATGAGCTCATTGGATTTCGTACTGACCTCAGGTTAATGTATTTTCACATTATGAAATTACAATGCAATTGGTACGTGTAATACGACTTTCTTATAAAATCAGCTGTTTGTGACATTGTCATACAAGCAAACATGGCCCGACTATGCGGTTTCAGTATAAAGTTAGACAGTATTAACCAATTTTTTTTCTAAAAGATTACCACATAACCAAACAATTTTATCAATATGAAAGTTGCGGGAATTGTATATCAATTATTTTTAAGACAGGCATTTTTAAAGTTTGATAATCAGGAGCAGTTTTCAATTTAACATCATTTTTATGTATTCTAAAATGTAACAATATTTCAGTCACGATCTTTATTTTCTCTCTGAAGTCCTTAATGACATATACAGTGGACCTTCAGATATCCGGACGCCAGATATCCGGATGCTTCAGTATCCGGACGCTTTTTTATTGGAACAGAAATTCAAAATGTTATTATGTCTTGTTTAACTGGTGATTCAGGTATCCGGACGCTTCACATATCCGGACAAATTGACTGGGAACCAAAGCGTCCGGATAAATGAGGCTCCACTGTATTTGGATATTTTTAATGAAATGTTTTTTTTTTTCTAGAAAGATGGATTTATATGATATTATTTTTTTTTCAAAATCTTGTGCACTACTATTGATGATTTCGGAGATTTTCTGCTCGTATTGTTAAATTTATAAAAATCCATTGATCCAATTCTGAAGGAAAAATTTAACAAACTAACTTTTGAAAATGTAATCAAAATGTAAATGGAAAAGATGTCATGACTTTAATTTATATTGTTTATAACACAATGATATTGCAAGAAAATGGTCGTTTAAATACATTTATAATTTTATATATATTTTAATATTGTGCAAAAATATAGACATCAAAAGTCGAGACATGTTTGTTGAAACACCCTGTATAAATGTTTTATTCATTTATCTTAATTTATTTATTCATTTTTTGTTTTATGAAAACGGTTTCTATATTTTTTTATTCATAGATTCCAATATTCAATATTGGTAGTGATGCAGCTAACAACTTCGAAAAAGCTGTCCTGGTTGCTGGAACATTGAAGATTCCAGAGGTAAAAAAGGCAAATGCCAATCACAGAAAACAAGTGTAAAAGATTATGTTTAAACACGAAAATTAATAATTCATTAATTTAATCATTCAGTACCTATTATCATCGTCATTTATATGCATGTTTATCACTTTTGTAAGGCATTTAAATAAAATTTAATATACATGTATAAACATGTGCTCTAAAGCCTCATTCCGGAAATTAAATATCATGAATTTTACCTCAATCATTACCTTCAACCTTACCAAATTCAATATCTTTACAAAATCATTGCACAAGATAAATGAAAGACGACAGGAGTCTTTAACATCATAGCTGCTTCTTGGAAATGGAACTAGTAAATCTACATATCTTATCATTGTCCTGTTGTCTGAAGTTAATATGAGAAAGATGCTTTAGTTTCTCAATGACATTATCGATGTTGTTTAAGGAGAACCAATGCTTACAATAATCTGTCGAAAATCCGATTGGTACTTTTGGTGCCCCGTTACATGTATTAGCAGATCTGTGATTGAATAAGTATGAGGCATAATTAATCTAAAAGTCAATCAATTCATCGATAAAATATTTCGACGATATTTATCAATTAACAATATTTATTTCATATCTAAAGTAGGCTCGATGTACCTTGTTTAACTCGGAATAAAAGAACTTCAGATACTGATGTATAAGGGGTTAGCGAAAAGTTCGTGGACTAACGACATAAATTAAAACCGCTTTAGGCACTTCATTGAATTTTGAAATATCTACTTAGCATCATCTTTTCTCTCTATAGAATAAACCACAATAACATGTATTATTTTCTAATAAATAACATATATGTTTGTAAGCAATGGCATGTCCAAGCGACACAACCACGAATATGAAAATTTTTTAACGTGAGTGTAACTGAGAAAAATCATTTTGATATATGAGAACTTGACATAAAAAATCCCAATAATTTAGACATAGAATGGGACACAATTGTTCCACGAGATAAGCAATTTTTACCCCACTCTGTAAATTCTTATCTATTACTTAGTTTTATCACAAATTTTACAGTATAAGTAATGTTAAAACAATTTAGGGCTTGTAAATGACGTCAAAAGCGGGGATGGGTTTCTTTTTCAAACCTTCTGTAAAGATTTGCCCCTAAAAAACTTTTATAGTTCTATGGATTGTTAAAACTGCCTACAGAGGAATAAAATGCATTTAGTATAGTTGTTTTTAAATGCAAAGATTCAGAGAGAAAGATGAAAGATGTGCAGTTATAATTTTGATTTGTATTCAAGGTGTAAAAAGCCAATAATATAACGTCTAAAAGTGACGTTGATTATGTGTGGAAGATGATGAACTCAAACAAGCAACTTGCACTGACATAATCAAGGAAGGATCTTTCTCTTTGTCAACATTCATTTACTATTTTATTTTGCATTGAAATCAGCTGTTCGTGACATTGTCAAACAAGCCAGACAGGTTTAAGTTTTAACTTAACTCCGAGGAATCTCATCTAGATAAGTGTATTGACACAGAGGGAGCAGGCATTTGAGAAACTATGACTTGTCTGGCGTCGTAAAACTAAACGACGACAGCACCGAGTGATCATATAATGTCTTTTTTACTTTATAATATTATTTGGCAATTTATCAATGTAACAAGCTTAAACTTACAACATTCTTAAACTTTAGTCGCTTAATTTTCTTTACGAATTTTTTAAGCACAGAATAACTGGTATTGTTTTTTTTTTGCATTAGTCCACGAACGTTTTGAAAAACCCTCGTATCTTATTTATATTTGAAAAAAAAATATTAAGACCATTGGGAAAGATCGATGTTCTTTATTTCCTTATTTTCATGTAAGAAGACCGAGAAAAAATGGTTCAGACTAGGTTGTTAGATTTGTTGATATATGACATTCATATCCAAAGAAAAATGGGAAAAAGAAAAAAAAAACATTTAACAAAGAAAAATAACTATATTATTTAAAGAATTATGAAATAAAAATACAACTTATTTCATTAACTATTTTAAAATCATTATTTATGATACCTAAAACGATTGGACTGTAGACATTGACTATTTAAAACATATATTCTATTATCATTAGTAGCAGTAGTACGTAATTAAATGATAATCATGCCCAGATATTCATGTATTATTAGTTACACAGTAAATAAGTGATCTAATACGGATTCATACAGGATGTGAAATGTAAATCCGTATTGGCAAGGCGAAGCCGAGTCCCAATACGGATTTCCATTTCACACCCTGTATGAATCCGTATTAGGTCACTAACTGACTGTGTAACGAATTTATCCCGCTGAAGACCTTTTTCAATATAAAAAAAAATTATTTGTGCATATTATGAAAATATTAGTTTTAATCCAATAACAATCAACATAATTATATCGTTACGGTAACAAGAAATTTAACTAAACTTCCTACATTAACCGTTTCTTAGCCACAATTTTTATTTACAATAACAACGCTATGAACGGAATCGCGTGTCCGATTTTCATATTATGACTCGACGGAGACGTAATATGGAAACGGAGACGTAATACGGAAAATTTAAGGGCGTCATGTGATTAGCTTTTATCCAATCAGTAATCGACAAATTTGTTTGAAGTGGGATGATTGAATTTGCAGTCCTTGTGCTTTCTCCCACTATGAACCTGCAGTCTTCAATTGCATCCATGGGACAATAGACGCAACTTCTGCTATGAATGGAATTATTTTTCACACTCGCAAAGTACAAACTCTACTACACTTATGTAACGAGTTTATTTATATTTATATATAAAATGTTTTGCAAAAGGAATAAATAGAAGTTTTTATTATTATTTGCTGGAAAAAAGGAATTCAGAATTATTTAAAATTCCTCATTCATATCTTAAAAAAATGATTTTTGTCAATGTATTTAATTGTATAATAAAACTTTAAAAAAAATTGAAGAGAAATGCCATATTTTATTTTTTTTCCTTATCATATTTTCGCATATTTGTACAAATAACGATAGCGCTTCACGCTTAGTTGTTTTAACATACACTGAACCAAACCTCTAAGTGTTAACCAAACTTTTTTAAGTTTTAAAGAAAAATGCACATAATTAAGAATTTCGTTAATTCATGCTTAATAATGCATATTTCAGTTCGATTTTGCGTAAGTTTCATGTAAGTATCTCGTCAGAATTTTTAGCTAAGTGTCAGGGAAATGATGTACCCTCAAAATGAAAACTCACACAAAGATATTTCTTTGGAGGAAGACAACCATTCGCTCTTTTACTGCAAGACATACTTTACTGTTGGATACAATGTACCCCTGAATATGAGATTGACCCATCTGCTGCCACACCTAAAGCCTAGATTTTTTCCAAACCATTGAAATTGAGTAGAAGGGGGGGGCTTAAAATTTCTTATAAAAATCAAAAATGTGTTCAATGGGATTTAGATCTGGAGATCTGAAGATGCATCATCACACAGAGGTCTTTTGGTCAATATCCTTGGACGTTTATCACGTAAGGACACCGCTTTAAGGATGATTCAGAGTACATGAGCTGATATAAGACTGTCACAAGCACCGATTTCTTTTTCCTACGATATCATTTTAATGCGATTGAATTCTTTTGTTTTTATGTTTCTAACATTGTTTCAGGACAATTTAACTGTCTTTAAATCTGGTGTGACGCAAAATTTTGGCCTCAGACGAAGAAATTAAAGTCACTTCCGGTTTGGTTAAATTTTGTCAAAAACTTTCAAATTGTGCTAACTTGGCGATGAAAAAGACGCACAGCCTATCAAAAAATGTTGTTTAAATGGGTTTTGATACGGATTGTTAATTTTTAAAAGTAATATCAAGGACAACTAAACACTGAAATAAAAGTTAGTAAAACGTGGTGCATGGATGGTCCAGATATCAACATTCTAACGGCTCTCCCTTCTTTCTCAATGGTCATTTTGCCAATGTTTTGTGTTTTTTAGTGAAACTGGTTTTTAAATTTTGATAATGATCACAAAAATTTACTAATTACACAAAACACGTACCACAAAGTAAGGCTTTTGTTTTTAAGGTTCGTCATATATCATTGGTTTTCATCGGTGATATTTAGTTTTCTTTCTATAATTGTTGAGAGGACTCATTTGTTGCAATAATTTGAAAATATTATACCATTCCATAGAGTAGATTTTAAATACATAAATTTTATTAAAGTGAACACTTAGAAGTTTTGTTAAGTCAATAGAAAAGCCAAATTTCTTTAATAGTATATCGATTTCAATTAGGATTTCAGCTCTAAAATAAATAGAAAAACATAAATAATCATATAGAAGCAATCTGAAGTTATAATCTTTATTACAGCATTGTTTTTTTTTCATCATAGTGTTAATTATTGATTTTTGTCAGAGAGTTTGAATAACACTGATCGATGACGTCACAACTGCATCAAAACAACAATTACGAGAATGTGATGACGGAGCTGCGTGTATCCAGATAACTGTGTTTGAGAGGCAAACACTTTATAAATTGTTTGTGATCTATAAGAGAAAAAGTGCAATGATCAGGTCTACTAATTTTATAGCCGTGTGTTTTTCTTTACTGAAGACAACAAGCCGCGTCCTTATGTAAGCCCAGATTTCCTTTGTTATTCTTGACAACATCAAAGAATGCAAACATAAGTAATAAACAACGATTTTTAAGTGAACATGGCATAATGAACAACAATAACTCTGCCGGCACATTTTCCAAGTTGCGCAAATGCGCATCATGAGATATTCCAACAGACCAATTGCTATTCATAACGTTCACTGAAAAAAATTGTTTATTTCTTTTAAAATTATTTACTTTTCTCAAAGGAGTAACAGTAGCACAGCTTTCATGAACCTCTCCTGTATTGTGTGTTGTACAGGTTATGTTATAAATGTATTGTACCCCTAAAATGATTGAAAATTAACATTTTGATTTCAAAGGTTACACTATGCTTCAACAACAAATTATTCAGGGGAAATAGAACAAGAAAAATGAATACAACAGACTTTGACGCTTTCGATTCTCCAAACTTTCCACCTCTCGCAGTTTTTAGTGGACAAAGACGTTTGTCTGGTAAGAATTAAACAGCTTCCCCGCAGTCACGCATTTTAACGCATCTGCCGTTTTCTATTTCTAACGCAAACTGATGCATATACCGTTTCCCAACAATCATCATTTTCACGTACCTCAAAAAGTTATTTTAACCTTCCATCTAATGCCAATTTCATTCTATTTTATTCTTGCTAAATTCTTATAAAATTAAAAAAGGTAATTTTCTTATTAAAATTATTATTATTTCTTATCATTACAATAAACTTTATTGAAATTGTACGGAACTATACAGTGCTTGCGGGGAAATGGTAACGTCATATTTCTATGACATGAGCATGTAAAGGTGTTAGTACAAGGGCCAGCTTTATTTCTTCTTGACAGAAGAGAAATCTCTTAAAATTAGATTGATTTATATTTGATTGACTGATATTTTATTTTTTATTTGTTTTTAATTTTTTTTTTAATTATCAATTTTTATTTATTTTTTGAATTTTTTATTTTCTCGCTTTAAAAGGGATTATTCATACTGCCAACTACAAATATACATTACAAGTTAATTCTTTTTGAAACAAAGTCAACTGCTTAAAGTTTTTCAGTTTAATAATAATCTCTACCAAATAATTTGTTTCTTTAAATATAAAAATTTGAAGACATGATTGTTTCTTCTTTAGAACATACAATGTTGAATATTCGTAGTGCATTATTTCACTGTTCCGCTTAATCAAATAAATCTTTTTGTTTCTTCCACCCATATTTACGTTAAGGGCACGGAAAATAAAAAGACTATCGCGTTTTTCACAACCAAAACAATAGACTGTTTTCTTAACATTATATTTTCTGATTAATTGTGCACTGCAAGGAAGTCTTGAGGATAGTTTGTTTTTTTTTTTGTACTTCGAAATAGGTTGTTTGCACATGTTAATGAATATTCAATTTATCCTAAACATACAGTAACTATCAATACTAGTTCTACGAGAAATTTTACCTTAGATTTTCTTTTTTCTCCTTCTTATGACTAGTCCCCTGCTGAAAGTAAGCAAAAAAATATTTTAAATAGATAGAAAAGGTTATAGCAAATTCGGGATTTACGGTCCTTAAGATATCTTGAGATTTCCGGAACTGCTAGATTTGTTGTAGAACAATTTCAAAGCAGTCCAGGTGCAGTAAAATAGCAGACCTAATTATATGTAGTGAGAAAGCAGTCCTAATGCAGTCCAATTGACTAATTTGTGAGACTTTTTGGTTGTCAGGATATGTCTTGTACGCAGTGAACTAACTGTAAATTCGACCACTCTTGTAATATGATAGAATGCGTCCAATATTTTGGCCACAGTACAAAACTTAGTTGTACCCATATATGAGAGCACATCTTATATCGGAGAAAACAAAACTTTCATTAAACAAATGTGACATTGTGACGCAGAGATTTATCATATATTACCATCAGTAAATTATTTCTCCTTTTCCTAGGGCCATCAAAGAAATTTGAATTATAATGTATTCATGACGAAGATCTTTGCTTTTTTCCAGGGAAGTAGCATTGAGGATGTCTAAATGATGCGATCATTAAAAAGTTTTTCAATTTCTTACAGAATGCTTCTAGAAAAATGATGTCCTTCAAGGAAAACTTTGTGGAACATTTTCTTGAAATTGATCCGTTAGATTTGTCAAGATCAAATAAAAGTGAACAAACACATTTAAAATGTTCTTTAGAAATATTGTGACGTCATTACTCTTAAATTAATGTCCATTACAGTAAACAGAACTAGGTAATACCAGGAAAAGTTTTGATAAATAGTGATATTAAATTAAATTTTAAATTGAAATAAAATTTAAGGATGTACAACACACCTACCCCAAAAAATTCCTATCGTTTAATTTTCGTTATTTTTGTATATTTAGTACATGACTATATCTTCTGCATACATGCACATTTCGGACAAAATCGTTTGAGTGGTTTTTGGACAGGAAGTTCCGAAAGGTACCCCCCTTTAGATGTTTACAAGGAGAGAAATTTTTTTATCAATGAACTATTTAAACCTTGATTTTCAAAGAAGCCAGGTTAGATATAATTGTCAAATTTTATTGACGTATTCCTTTAACCATTTAGTTTAACACAAAAACATGGTCATCTTTTTGATATACAAATCATCAAAACAATTTTTAAAGACCTTAAACTGAAAAACTATGAATTATCTACGCTTTGGAAATTGTGTATTTTTCAAATTCAATTTTTTTTTGTGAAAAAACCTGTCGTTTAATTTTGGTAAAAAACTTTCTTTAGGTAGCTGGTAGTATAAAAATAATCTTCATAATTTTTTTGTATAATTTTTGTACGACCAGTTTTGATTTAATAGCGGAAAATCACCCCCTCTCCCTTTCTCAATAAATCACGTTGCCGCGCGTCTTTCAGACGAGGGTCGATCACTTTTCTATGAATCTACAAATACACATTTTAAAAAAAATCAAATTGGAATATTGCTTTTGCTTCAAAAATATTTTAACTTACACATTTAAAAGTTCTCACATGTAAAACGTATTAAAATATAGATTTTTAGGCAATTTTTGAGCACCCCTACCAACCCACCCCTTCCTTTTTTGCGTCGCAGACCATTAGCGTTTGACAAAGCGTCGTTTACAGTGCAAATATACTAGTATTTCGTCATTTGAATCTCGGAGGTATGCATTTGTTTTTAAATTCATGAATGCAAAATAAATATTGAATACTGTTTTTAGATGTATCAGGAAAAAATTACTGAAGGATTTTAGTGTTTAGTCCATATATGTAATCGTTATGCATTCCATATCACATGAAACCTGGATACGAATTCAAGTTATGTTGAACTTGAATATGTTGATTTTTAATTTTATTTCTTTAATTTTATTTATTAAAAAAAATGGTGTATGTTCAACTCTCCTGTGATTTAAATGGAATAATTGTAGTTTTTTTCATGTCATTATTTCAAACGAGACAGTATGTGGGCCTGGGGATACATTGACATTTGTATAGATGTACACCCTTCATGATATTGTACGCATTCTTTCAATGTCGTTGCTTCTATAGCCTAAGTTAAAATGAAAATTCCGTATTCGTCCACATTAGCTTCAAAATATCAAACATTAAACTCTTCATCTTTTTTAATTTATATCAAATCGCACATTGATATTTTAAAAAATCTTATAGGATACGTTTTGTTTTGATTCGAGGAAATGCGAACCGACATGGTTGACGACAGAAAGTTAAACGATTTGCTGCAATAGGATATTCATAAATGCAGATAAATTCAGTACTACTCAACAATTCTTTTCAATTCTATACTTACATTGTATGAGGTCTATAGTATTCAATTTATATCGGATTTATCAGGTCTTGCTGTAAATGTATCTGATTCTGTGGAAAACCGTGAATAAAGGGAGGAAAATAAACATCTCCTACATGTTCAGAGTTGTTCCTCTTTGATCAGTGAGGGTCTGAGAACAACATCGATTTTACATTGTAAAAAGTTTTTTGTTTGTTTATTTTTGTTTTATTTAATTAAAGAAATAAAACAATATTTATACCGTATATGCACAAATTGTAATGAAGACTATTAATCGGAATGTTATAAAGCCAATTGTACATAATGAGAATTTCGGCAATGTAAAATAAAATTTTCAGAATAAAAAAAATGCTGCGCTTTGATCAAGAATCCAATTTATTGTATATGAATTGAAATAAAAATTAAGGGATGGTATTTTATGTCTTGCTTTTTACGGAGTTTAATCGGGTTAATTAAAAAAAAAACATAATCACAGCCAAGCCCCATATCCCATTTTTCTTTTATGATTGATATACATCGGGATCGTTTTACTCGTCATTTTGACGCTTTATTTTTGACGTTAAATTTGACGTCATGTCAAACGTTCAATTGAAATCGCAAGAGTTATCTCCCCCAGTGTGTTGTACGTCTTTAACATCGTCCTATGCCCCATTATTTTAACCAGTCCAAGTCTAATTGGAGTGCGCATGACCTGCGCAGCTTTTTAATTTCATGCCGTCATTTGTGCGACAGTACACCTTTGCCAAATATTTTCATTTTAATACAAAATTAACATTATCTGTAACCCCTACTGATCTGAAAATGTGATATTACGACAATAAATAGGATAAAAACACTGAAATGGCTCTACCAACGTCACCATTTTCGGATTTTATAAGCAACGCATGACGCTGAAGAACGACGCATGACTTGCTTGCATGCTTCCATGGATATTATATTAAAAACTGATGACAGAACAACTAAAGAAGCATACTAGCAATTCAAAGATTGCTTTTTTAAACCAAAAAAAATGTTTAAAAATCTCCGATATTTTATCTGTAATGATACAGACCCTGAGACGTGCTACTACCCCAAAAAAGCGTGTAACTTTCGTGCGCTTTCCGTTTCGTGCAAACCGTGTAGCGTTTCGTGTAAACCGTGCAGCGTTTCGTGTAAGCTCCAAAGCGTTTTGTGCAAACCGTGTAGCGAGCGTGCGAGAATCGTGTGAGAAACGTGCGACTTTCGTGTACGAATCGTGTGAGAAACGTGTGACTTTCGTGCAAGAATCGTGTAAGATTCGTTCGGAAGTCATTTCATTCTAAATATGGCTATCGATGGGTCAGAATGTCAAATTGTATTAGTATTATATTATTAAAATAGTTATGATTGTGATATTTTTGGAGTAATAACAAAAAAATGGAACAACAAAACGAAATTACACGGTAATGTATAATATATATTTGTTTGATTTCTTTTCCTTCCAATGAAAATGTGTTCAAATTAATCAACTATGTACAACACTTTTAAGGGCATTGAATTCATTATACTATCAACGCGATCATGGCTTCTAAAATATTTTTCCCAAAGAAAGAAAGAAATTAATACCGGTATAATTTTTTTTATTTAAAGCAAAAATATCACAGGACTCTGCTCTTGTCTTTACACTTAAAGTACGTGAAAGAAAGTTTTGAAACGATGTGTCATTTAATACCTTTTAATCAT